GCAAGGTAAGCTTGCAGCAAGATACAGAAAGAGCCAACTCCGCCCACACGTCACGCGCTTTTTCCCCTTCTCCAAAAAAGAGAAGCGCCCCAAAAGCGGAGGCTTGAGTTTTTTTTGTTTTGTTTTTTTTTGGTCGCTTTGTGGCTAGGAGCTGCAGAACCCCGCTGGCATGGCCGCGTTCCAGCAGGCCCTGGAGAGCCTGCTGGCCAACTCGGGGTGCCGCAGCCTGAGACGATCAGAGCCTGTGGGGTTCCTGGGAAATTCTGAGGCCATTGCCCCAGCATGAAGCTATTTCAGAGAAATAGGCAACAACCAAAGAAGCAAGGCAGCAAAAACCAGGGAGAACCGTCATGAGTGCTTCAGGGAAGAGGTTTTTCTTGGCCTGTCGGAGTGCGAAACGCTGAAGTCCAGAACGTTTAGGGATTGGGATGTGCCCAACAGTCGCGGCCGGGAGGAAGTTTTCGCCTTGTGCCGGCCGGGAGGAAGTTTTCGCCTTGTGCCAAGGTCGCGACAGGGCAAATCCCTACGTGAGGAAGGTCGAGCTGGTGCAGCGTTCCACCCTCATGCGCTTCTTGGATGCCAGGTTTTGTGTGCGGACAGGTTTGTCCTGCGAAGCCATGTGCCAGCTGAGTGGGGCAGATGGTCACGGAATGATAAACAATGATGGAATTTGAACATGATGCGTGGGGGCTGGGAAGGAGGGGGGGAAGCTGAGGGAGCCCAAATAACCTATTCTGGGCATTTTAAGCCTTATGAAAGCCTTGGGCTCCCTCCCTCCCTCCCTCCCTCCCTCCCTCCCCTCCAGGGCCCCCAGAGTTCCAATCCGAGCACGGAGCAGTTTGACTGGCATAAGGGCCGCCTTTAAGCAACAACCGCAAGAGTTGCTTGCGTGCGCAGCCTTGTGGGTATGTCTTTTTAGAACCTCCCTTTTCGTTGGCTTTAGGACAGCCAAAGGCAAACAACCATTTGTTTGTGTCCCTTGTATTGGGAATTCGATTTTTGTGCCTCTCTCTTTTTGTCCTCGCCCCCTTTCACGCCCGGATCCTCAGGTTGGCAGGGCTCCAACGAGCACTCCTGGTTTCTGCCACTCGGCAGATGCCAATAGTCAGCTCGGGCCGGTGCTTGCGATTCGGGCAAAAACTGGCAATCCAACGTTCAAGGGGCCAAAAGCTGTTCTCTTGCCTTGGCTGAGTGTCGATCTGGTACCAACCCCCCCCTCCCTGGGTCATTTTCAGCCGGCCTCTTCGGCTGCTCTCCGTACGAGGCGAGTGACTGTGGCCGTTCCCAGCCTGGTGGCGACATGTCGGGGTAAGCTGGAGGCTGGCACGCTGGCACCGTTCCACATGTGGGTGAAACTCCAAAATTGGGGGACGGCCTTGTTTCCCTGTGTTTCTCTGGGTCCTTTTTTTTTTTTTGGGGGTGGGGGGGGGGGAGTACTCTCTAAAACGAGGGTTTACCACAAGGGGAGCTCGCCATTTTTGGAGTCCCCCGATTTTGACAGGCCTTTGGACGGAGGAACAAAAGGAAGCCATCCGCCAAGGTCCCCCTTGAGAAGCACCCATGTAAACCTAGGATTCATCAAGCTGGCATGTGACCAATCTGCTCAACCAGCGAATTGAGGGGCTCCTGGGTCAACTCTACCAGAGCTCCATGCGAAGTGCGCCGAGTGGCATCACGGTCTCTGCTGAATTGGAGGCCGGTTTTCCGCTCAATGGGCACGGGTACTTCCCGGCCAGCACGTGCGACGCCGAGAGAGATGGCTTTTCGTTTTTCCTTCTTTCTGCGGTTGTTTGCAAGCACCCTCCGCTTCGATGGTTGGAAAGCGCTGCGCGTGCGCCATTTGCGCCTTTCTTTTTTTTTGGGGGGGGTGTTCCCAGCGGGCAGTGCCTGGTGACACTCAGGTCGTATGAGACCAACATCCCTTTCGCTCTGCGTTTCATGATCGCACGTCCCCCAGCTTTGCTTTGAGTTGAAAGTTGGGACGAAAGACATCCCGGTCTCCTTTGGTGGACAGGTGGTTTGTAGCCATCCCCGTGGCTAGCGTGGCCTTGAGACGAAACGCCCTAGCGTGGGGACCTGTTCAAAGTGCCAACCTGAGGATCGCGCACTTGCTGGTGGTGGCTGGGTGGTGGCTGAGCACACCTTCCGTAGATCAGGCCCGACCTGGCGTGTTTTTTTCTTCTTCTTTTTTTCTTCTTTTTTTCTTCTCTTTTCCCCCCCCCCCCCTCAGCATTTCTTTTTTTGTTTTTGGTTGTAAGGTTCACCAAATGTGGGCCAGCGTCAAACATATTTGTTTGGCTGGACAAAAGATGAGATAGGCATTGAGCTCAGAAGAGCCATGAGCTCTTTCAATGTCACGCGCCAATGTCAATCCGAGCAGACCCGGCACGCGGCTTTCGGTCAGAAAGTCAGATGCTTCAAGGCACACTTGGTTTCTCCAACTGGTGGACCCCTCTCAAGGATGGTTTTAGGGGGAACTTTTTGGAAACCAGCCGTACTGGGGATGGACGAAATCATTTCGCACCACCCAAGAGACCCTGGAATGATTCGCTTCCCTTGTAAATACCAACGAACGTTATGGTTTCAACCATGGTTTCATTTTGTGGTGCGAAACGGATGTCGCAACCATCCACAGCAGTCCCATTTGAGAACACCTTCCACTTCTGCTTTCCGGCGCCGAAAGCCGGGATCGGTCGAAGCGGGACTTGGCCGGAAGCATGTGGGTGTGGTTCCTGTTTTGAGGGCACCCCTTCTTTGGTGGTTTTAAAGGAAAGCAACGAGGAAAATGTTGGGGTCCCCTAGAAAAGAGACATGCTCATGTGTCTCTTTCTGGCAGGCTGAAGGGTCAAATGCATAGAGGCATGAGGCCTGTTGCCAAGGGTCACAGCTTGTGTTTATTCACTGCTGTGTGATTCAAAGTTGTAATTAATCGCCATTGTTGTCGCACTTTTCGATGCTTGTTGCCAGACAAGCTGTTCGCATTTGTTGCCCTTATCAAGGCTGCTCAAACGCCGTCAACAGGTCCCACTAAGGTTCATTCGTAATGTCTTGAAACCCTCTTTTGCAACATGCATAAGAAAGAATCAAGCTGGAAGATGCCTTTTTGACCTTGGCAAGCACGTTGCTTCATATGCCCTTTTGAAGGAAACCTGAAGCAGGGTCCTTTGACTCGATGTACGAGGTCTAACATGGGCTTGGCTTCACTTGTGAGCAAAGCGGTGGCTCCATTTAGACCTTCCGGCGTTTGCCAGTTGCCAGCTTCTTGAGGCCGTGACAGCGTGAGCCTTTGCCAGCTGGAGGTGGACATGCACTACTCTGAGCTACGGCCACAGGTCGACGGATGCTGTGGCTGTTGGCTGTTGGCGTGTGTTGCTTGTGCCGTTTTTTTCTTCTTCTTTTTTTTTGGGGGGATGTTACGTTAAAAAGGGGAAGGCGTCGATGTGTATGTGACATCCTTTGAATGCCTGTTTTGGGACATGTTTTTTTTTTTTTGCAGGATGCTTGCCGCGTGCCAGGAGAAACTGCACATTGCTCCCCTCCGTATCCTCTCCTTCGATATTGAGCAGGGCCCCGATATGTTTTGCCGGTGGCAAGCTGCATCGCAGTTCTTTGGGAAACTCTCCAAGGTGCTACAACCCCGAGGGAAAGGCTGGCTGGCATGATGCCCCTGCCCATGTGCAAACCTCTCGGCTTCCGCCGCGGGTTCCACATGCCGCGCAGGGCTTCCCCAAAGCAGACAGCAGCCCAGTGATCCAGATCGCCGTCTACTTGAAGGCGCCAATCGCCGTGTGGGGAATTTCTTGGCCGGGTGTACGCGTGGATGAGCGTGGCCGGTGGAAAGCCATTCACAGCCACGAAGCAGGTTTGAGCTTAACCTGGCATCCGACATGATTTGAGCAGATTTGAGGCACAAACAAAACCCGGGTAGTTTTGGTTTAGTAAGGGAAAGTCCCAGCCACAAATACTTGATTTGCTACATGGCTTTGGGTAGACAATTTTCATTCCAGGTTTTGACTATGACTTATTTGAGACAGTGACGGAAACCTACCGGCCACGCTCCCCAGAACTGGAAACACAGGGAAAAATCGGTTGGAGAACTTGCGGCCAAAAGCTTTACGTTTGTATTCCTCGATTCAAGCCAAGCCGCAGGTTCATGGCTGCGAGAAACCGTGGCAGCCCCGGAAAACGGGCGCGTGATTGATGGTTGTTTGCCGGGCCCGGTGAAACGTCGTTGAAACAGACAAGGGGCTGCCTCAAAATGACGTAAGTGCTACTGTCCATCCGTCAGAGGCGCCTTCTTTCAAAGTTGTCACAGCTGCTTTTTAGAGCCAATCACATGTTTGTCTGGGTGTTTCTAAAGATCGGGACCCAGCTTTATTGGCGTTTGTCTCCCCTTGGCCTCCCTTCAAAATCCAAACCCCAAAAGGGTACCACCAAAACGCCCGCCCCCGCGGCCGCGCGTTCACGTCTTGCCTGCCGAGCTCTGAGGCTGTCTCATGCGATTTGGACGCTGAACACCTGTAACGCCATCGCAGGCGACGGCTCGCTGTGTTTTCCGAAGGCAACAAAAAACTTGTGTATATGTAGATGGATATGTATATACTATGTATATGCATGTATGTATTTCCTTTATATATATATATATACACCCGCAGCACGGCTGGTTGACCGTCACTGACTGCAGTAGTTACTGCGGCGCCTCAACAGGAGGGGGGAGGGGGGGGGGGGGGCGGGGGGCGGGGGGTGTAATGTCGCGCTTTGTCGACTGCGAGCTTTGAGCCTTGCTTTGTCACGTTTCGCACGTTTTGCCACATGTGCTCCGCAGTCAATATGGGCTTTGCTTCTAGCCCTTCTGCACATGTCGTCGGTTGAAGCCTTGGCAACCTTCATTTTGCTGCGTCTTAGTGGATGGCGAGTGCAGCATGTCCCTCCAGCTCTACGCTCTGTTGCCAGTTTTTTCCTTTGCCCGCTCCAGGAACTTGACGAATTTCACCAGGCCTGTTTTGGCATAAATGAACACATGTAGTCCTGTGTGGTCCTGTTTTGGTATGGACTAGGATCACAAGTGTGTTTTCAATTCGGGAGCTGGCAGGTCACGAAAGCTAGCTTTAGCTAGCTGAAGTTTCTCCTTGCGTAAGCAAGGTAAGGGGCTCAAATGCCGAAAGATTGATTTTTTCAATTATTTGAGCCGAAAAGATTGAAAAATATCAATTATTTAGACCCCCCCCCCCTCCCCCCCCCCCGGGTCTCAGGCTCGATTCCTCCCTGGTCCATCCCCCCCCCCCCGGGCAGTGGCTCAGTGTTCAGCAGTCTCGGTTTGCCCGTTTTGGACTTGGTGCTACGAACTTTTACATGTTCCACCGATTCAGCTTGTTCACTTGAGACCTCAGTCTTCTCGGTAAACCACCTCGCAAGAATCTTTGCACACGCTGCATGCAGAACCCAGAGGTGCTTTAAGACAGCTTCTGACGCCTCTCGTTGTTTTCATTTTTCAAGGTTTGCCACGCCACCATGTGCGTTTGTCGCATCCTACGAATCTTGCCGGGCCTCTCGTTGTACACAAGCTACCTATAAGCTACCTATGAATCCACTCTGTCACCGACCCATCTCATGCAACAACTGCTAGCTTTCGTTCACCCGCTCCTCAAGTATTATCTTTCGCAGCTCCTACGAAAGCAGGGGTGTCTCACCTACGTAAAATATTCACTCCAGTGACCACTCTTAAAAAGAAAGGGGCCTTCGCTCACCCTGAAGAAAATAGCCCAGAAAAAGATGGCGACTGAAAGTCGCACATCCTTCCAACTAGCGGCCGGAGAGAATAAGGCCGAGGCGTTTGGGAGCGGTCAAGGGAAATATGCGAAGATTGGGCTTGTTAGGGCGCTGGAACGGTTCATCGAAGAAGAAGCGTTGTCAAGTGCTTGCGTCCGCTGCTCTACACAGAATGCCGGGATTTAATACCGTGGTACTGGCTTGCAAAGCCTACCGCCTGGCTCTTTCACAAGGGAAAGTGAAGCTTCCCCCTCTTGAAAGTACGTTGCAGAGCATTTGCCTTGGTTGAACGCGTGAAAAGATGGCTTGGGATGCGTGGTAAATGTAGTAAGATTGGAGCCGACGGCAAACCATCCGTCTTGGGCATATATATATATATATATATATATATGTTTATTATATATATATTATATATATATATATATATTTATACATGTATCTATGGTACCCCCCATGGTCCATGGGGGGGGGGGTTGCATACTTATATATATATATATATATGCACATACATACACACCCACACACACACACACACACACATATATATATATACGTATATATGTTAGTATCGCGTCTCTTTTTGTTTCGTGGGAGTTTTGCTCTTGTATTTTCCCGCTTCTTTTTGGCGCAGGTGCAACAGTCTACCCCTTCGAGACGGAGGAAGAGCTGCTGCTGAGCTTCCGGCAATTTCTGCAGGACCCATCCATGCGGCTGGAGGGCGGGCAACTGGTGGTTTGGATTCGTTGAGTTTTTGGATTCGCTGGTCTCTTCACGACCTGGCTCAAGGCTCAAGGTTCAGCTGATCCATCAGCTGCCTTCCGATTGGATGAGTTCACCCCAAGTTTTACTCATATGGGCCTGGAGGGGAAAGCCCTCCAAAAGTGGTCCAAGTCCAACCGCTAAACTCAGGTTGACACCTCCCTGTTAATACGCTTTTTGTCTTCTCCTTTTTCTTTTTTTCTTCTTCTTTCGGTCATGGGGTCAGCAGAATTGGATGGTTTGAGTTTGAATTTCAAGATCAACAGATGGAAGCTGAGATAGGTTCCTGCTCAAAGTTGAGAGGTTCCACTGTTTCCCCCTTGCAGGGTAGCGTTAAATATCACCTGCCGGTTGCCAATTCAAAGTTTGTTGCTTCTTCTTTGGGCTGGCCAGGCTACTAGGCTAGGCTTTTAGGATGGCATTGACCAAATCGTTCCGCGAAAGCTGTGCTCGAGCCTTTCCTTTTTTAGCTTGCGTCTCAAGCCAAAGCCGTGTCAGACAAATCGGATGCTTGGCATGCCGTGAGGCTCCGCTTATTTGCTGAGATGCTGCGAGCACTGTTGCTCTGCTTGCTTAGGCCAGCTACAGGTCAAGATGAGTGCCTGGCCGCCTTCAGTTCCGAGGTGGTCCGCTTGCGAGATTTGAGCGCCGTGATGACGCAGGATCAAAACTGGGACATCTTGCACCGCCGCGGTGAGCCGACGGTCTGCGTGCGGGAAGGGCATCGCTTCTTCTTTGTGCTTTTCTTTTATCAGCACTGGCAGACTTTTGCGCGTGCCTCCCGCGCGAGTGCGACACCACGGTTCTGTCCGACGAAGTGCTGCCAAAGATGTATCAGCACTTTTTTGACCACCACAGTCTTGTCTTGCCGGATGGGAGTATTGACGAGGCGAAAAGTCTTCAGTACTCAATGACCTTGAAATAATACAAGTCTGGCGTTGATCTGTCCGCAGACCTGCACTGGCCCGTCTTTCTGGGAGTTGCGGTGATGGTGCTGCCTGGTCTCATTGCCGCCCTTTGGGACCTGATTTCGGCTTGCCGTGGGCGGCGTGCATCATACTTCCTTTTAGACACGTTTAGCCTCCAGCGCGGCTGGTGGGAGTTGTCAAGCGCGGAGGGCTTTTCTGCAGACCTGTGCTGGGTGCGAGTTGCCTACGTGGTTGCGCTGATAACTCTGCATGTCACCCAGGGGTCCAAGTGGCGCTACATAGAGGTGCTGGAATCCACGTACTTGCTATTTGCTGCCGTTCGCCCCTTGGCACTGGTGCAAGACGCCTTCTTTCAGCTGTCCGCCTACCTTTGTGCCTGCAGTGACGCGAAGGTTCAAGCGAGTTCCCGCTTGCAGCGGCTTCGCTTGGCACTCATTCGGTCGTGGCACAAGTATCTGCGGCAGCTGCCGGTATGCCTCTGCTGGAACTGGTTCTATTTGTTCGTCCTCCCGGCTGTTTCTTGGTGGTGTGACCTCCAACCACTTTTTGTCTTAGATGGTTTCCAGTACCCCCAAACCACTACACACAAAGGTTCCTGGGTGTACAGCTATGTCGCTACTATATGATGGGGGTAGTGGTTTGGGGCTAGTACCCATCTTAGCATTCGACATCTTTAAACTTTTTAGAACATGAACCCCTCAAAAGCTGTTCATGCCTATCGGCTCGCTCGATCCAATCTGCCGAAGTTACCGACCCTGATGTGGGAAGCAGGGGGTCTCCACCTCAGATTTACGAACCCAAACCACCCTTCGAGTCTCCCTTGTGGGCTTCGGATTAGGTTTCCAGGTTGCCCCCACGAACATGGCACCTGACAGGGACCCGGTCCCTACAAGAGGAGAATGATCTGCCAGGCACCCTCCAGGTGTCTTCTCCTGTTAGTGGAAGGAAAGGGGAACCATGGGGCAGTTTTTGGAACCTGAGGTTCCATACGGAGGGGAAGGGGGGGAGGGGCGATTCTACTTGTCAAGCAACTCGTGTGATACCACGGCTCTCTCATTACTGGAAGGGAATTCCCCACAAGGAACCTTTTCTGTGAGCTCGCTTAACTCTCTCTCTCTCTCTCTCTTTCTCTCTCTCCAGGGTTTGGCAAGACTGGCTGAAACGACAAATTTTGGCTCTCCGTTCGTGTGGCTTCGATTCCTGCACAGCTTGATCCAGTGTACGTTATTTTTCCAGCTCTGCAGAACAGCTCCCTCGTCAATTAAACAATTTCAACCCAACCCTTTGAAGGTGCACAAGTCAGGAACCAACTGCTTGGCTGTTTTGGTTTCACTGCCCTTGGTTACGACCCCACGTCAACCCACCTTAATCATGTGAGGCTCGGTCTCAAATTTTCCCGGCCCATGGCGGGGACGCGCTCTCAATTTCCCAGCCCGCAGCTTCCCACAGAACACCGCCGGGTCATTTCTGCGGTAAGTCGTCGGCACATTTTTGAGGCTCACAGCTCGTTGAACGACCGGGTCTTCTCGCTCTTCTCGTGGCCCGCGCAGCTGCTGCTGATCTTCGGGCTCACCGCGCTCAGCGCCTCGGCGGTCTTTCTCTTCGTGCAGCGGCCCTGGGCCTTGGTCCTGGTGCGCGCCTCGCGGCTCGTTCTCGGGGCCGGAGGGAGCCGGCCGGAAGCTCCGGGAGCGCCGGACAGGCAAACCAAGGCGCCGGAGGGGACAAAAGGCCGCGGCTCAAGGCAGGGGCTCCGCTTTTTGACGACAGGGTAGGCTGAAATGCAGGGCTTCATTCCCCCCCCCAAAAGGAGACCCCTGGGTTTAAGTCTATCTTGGGGTGGTCAACAAGTGGAACCCTGGCTCAAGGTGACGAGCGGCTCAAGGCGTATTGCAATGTACGTGTGTGGCTTGGGGTCCGGCGGAGGGTTAGGATGAATCTGATGCGCGCGCTTGCGGGAGTGAATCTGCTTGCACCTTGCCACTACTTTGTCCCTATCTACCCGCTGTATAACACTTCACCCTGAGCCCAGGCTTATATCCATGAAGTTGGCTGGATTGCCAGCCACTTACGGGTGTAGCACTGCGGCTCTTTAAACAAAGGCTGGAGGTGTGACCCCCGCACATCAACTCGTGGCCACGTTGGGCCATGATGGTCAGTTGACCGATATGCCGGGGCAAATGCCAGTCTATCGGCAGATTCTTGGCAAGAAGTGAATTCGGCATTTGAAGCAGCCAATTGTCAAGGACGTCGACCCAGATGTGATCACTGGCTACAACATCAACAACTTTGACTTGTCCAGGGCTCATGCTTGTTTCTGCTTGACATCCAGAATGCATCCTTAAGCTCCACCTCACTTCTTCGCTTCCATGTTTCTGAAAAAAAAACCAGGCCCAGCCGTCTTGCTTTTGTCGTGTTTCTCCGCAAACTGTCTTCCATAGGCCCCGCTTCCTTTTTCTTTTTGGCTCCCCCCCCTCTCACCCCCTTCGCAGCCCCCCCGTCCCCCCCCCCCCCCCGCCAGGGAAGGCGGAGTGCAGCTTCCACGGTGTCCGAGGCCCTACCTCCTGGACCGCGCGGAGACCAAGGGCATCAGCTACCAGTTCTGCAAGTTGGGGCGCCTGAACGACCTCTGCCGGCGCCTGAGGAGTTTCGGAGTTTCGCTGGCTGGTCGCAAGCCGGAAATACTGGGGATGGACGAAATTTCCCTCCACCTAAGCCCTGGAATGATTCGATTCCCTTGTAAATACCTTGGAATGGTTTCAACCATGGTTTCAAAGTGCAGGATTTCGTCCATCCACAGGGCCGGAGATCCGCCCTTGTCAATTTCTTTTATTTGTTTCTGGGCAGGCCGTGGGAAGACCAGGTTTTGATCCTGACTCTGCTGTTCTGAGCTTGTCTGGCGAAAAGGGGGGCGGGTTCGCCGAGGCTCCGTTTTCAGGTCTTGTTGGATACCAAGGCCGCAAGCGCATCAACAACTTTGGCGGCCGCGAGTCCATAGAGATCAATATTGATGGCAGAATCAATTTCGACATGCTGACAGTCATCCAGAAGGAAGTGTGTTGAAGTGGTGGCGTCCGGCCCAACGGCGGCAAACAGTTTGATGCATTGTAGTGCTGACGTGTGTCGACCATTCTCACCATCTCCCCTGGCCAGGAGCAGAAACTGAGCTCGTACTCCTTGAACGCGGTCTCCGCAGAGTTTTTGGGAGAGCAGAAGGAGGATTTCCAGCGTGCGTTGGTCATTGTTTGCTGCTTGCAGTTTCTGTTTTGCCTGGCAATGACCTCAGCTGCTTGATTGCTTGCTCAGCATGGCTAGCACTGGTGACTGGTGCACGTAGCATCAAAGGGGGTGCTTTGAATGGCCGGAGCTTCAGGACGTCCACCACAGCATGATCGGAGGGCTCTTCCTGGAAAGTGCTGACACCCGGCGCCGTTTGGCCGTGTACTGCCTCAAGGCTCCGCTTGTCACACCCGTCGCTCGTGCTTTGTGCACCGTACCGTTTCACCGCTGGTTGGGGGCGGGACAGGATGCCTATCTCCCCATGCGGTTGATGGAGAAGCTTCTTTGTATGTGCCCCTCTCAAGCCGGCCAAAGAGTTTCCCGTAGTGCAAGGTGCTTCCCGTCCCGCGTGTGAGGTACAACTATGTTGAGATGGCGAGGGTGACCGGCACTCCCATCAACTTCTTGCTGAACCGCGGGCAGATGATCAAAGTGCAGCAACTTCCTCAGACTTTTGCTGGGTACCCAGCGCCTCGCATGGTCACAAGCCTTGAGGTCTCAGCTCCTGCGAAAAGCGCGTGAGTGTGACTTCGTGATGCCCACAATGACGCTTGACGTCACTCTCTTTGTCGCGTCACTATCTGCGTGTCAGCATGCATTTTGGAGACCTTCAGGAAGTCGGAAGCCTCCAATGACAAGTTTGAGGGGGCGACCGTGCTGGATCCTTTGACAGGACCACCCGCTATGCCGGTTGTCAGCAGGGATTGAGGGAACGACCCCTATAAGCCATCCCCTATGGTTTCCTTCAGGGGAATTCCCAGGTCATTCCCAACACCGTGGGTCATTCCCTGCTGAGCACTAGCAAGATTGTGCTCTACAGATGTTGCGCTCACTGGTTTCTGCAGGATACTATCCGCAGCCCATTGCCACGCTCGATTTCGCATCCCTGCGCCTCAGTCAAGTCTTTTGAGAGTGTAGCATGAGCTTGACGCCCTGGATGTGCCCACGAATCATGATTCCGTTGGAAGGGGTACGTACGTACGGACGTATTCCGTACTTTCCTACATACGTACATACATAGATACATAGATACATAGTTACATAGGTGCCTACATACATGCATACATACATACATACATACATACATACATGCAGACATACAGACAGACAGACAGACAGACAGACAGACAGACAGACAGACAAACAGACAGACAGACAGACAGAGACAGACGACAGAGACAGACAGACAGAGACAGACAAACAGAGACAGACAGACAGACAGACAGACAGACAGACAGACAGACAGACAGACAGACAGACAGACAGACAGACAGGACAGGCAGGCAGGCAGGCAGGCAGGCAGGCAGGCATGCATGCATGCATGCATGCATGCATGCATGCATACATACATACATACACACACGCACACATACATACATACATACATACATACATACATACATACATACATACATACATACATACATACATACATACATACATACATACATTACATACATACATACATTACATACATTACATACATACATACATACATACATACATACATACATACATACATACATACATATACATACATACATACATACATACATACATACATACATACATACATACATACATACATACATACATACATACATACATACATACATACATACATACATACATACATACGTACGTACGTACATACATGTGCAAACATCTATATAACTAAACACATCAATACGCAAACAGCGAAATAGATAAGTCAATAAATAAATAAACAAATGCATACATATACATACACACAGATAAATAAAGCAAAGGCATGTGTATATGTGCAAGATATGTTTGATTCTGGGAGTTTTCAGTATCCGTGAGGTACCCTTCAATCATGATGGCGCACAACCTCTGCTACTGCACTCTGCTGAAGCCGGAGCAGGTCAAGGATCTCCAGCCAGAGGACTACACAAAGACCCCGAGTGGATGCTGCAAGACGGCAAGTTGGTTTTGTCTGAGGGAACCAACGCAACATTTACCCTCCCACCAGCTCAGACCCCTGTAGAAAGACTACTTTCCTGTTGGAAAGGGCCTTTTGCACTTCCATGTTAACTGTTAGTTGGTGGGAGGGTAAGTGGTTTTCCATATCCCTAACCAAAAAAAGAAAAAAACAAAAACGGCCCCCCCAAAAGGCACCCTGAAAACGAACACGCGCCCCGAACATTTAAGTGATTTCCCATTGAATTCCCTTTAAGAGAGCCGCCCCCTACCCGGCCACCCCAACGAAAAGAGGCACACCCGAATCGGGCTGTGCTGCGCCGTAGGCTACTTCTTGAAGAGCTCCAAGCGACGAGGATTGCTGCCAATGATCTTGGAAGAGCTTCTGGCCGCCAGAAAGCGTGCCAAGAAGGCTGGAGGCTTACCCAAAAAGAAGGCTTTGCGGGGGTGTCGTCACGACCAATCTTTGTGGTACTGGTTGGACTTGTGAGGCGGCCCCCTTGTGTTTGGCAGAATCTTGCGGCGGCTCGCACGGCCAATGTGTGGTTGGACTGGCTGGGATCACTCGATGGATTTGAGGCGATGGCGGAGGCCGAGGATCCGTTGACCAAGTCGGTTCTCAACGGCAGACAGCCGCCTGGCTGAAGCAGTCGCAGCCGCAAGAGGCAGAAGGCGCATGGTCGCGGCAGGCTGGCGCTGAAAGTCTCCGCCAACTCGGTCTATGGCTTCACAGGCCATGGGGAGTTGGGGTCCTTCGGGGCTCGGCCTTCGAGATCTTTTGGGACTCCCTGTTGGTTGTGACCCGCCATTCTTTTTCGAAGCCTCCCTTCCTTGAAAGGGTGCTTCCAATCCTTTGGTGTTTTAGCAGGGGCTTTGAGGGTTATCCCAGTTTTCAAGATGGCGTCAACAAGAGCCTGCGCCATGTTTTCCCTGGGCTCCAGCCGGGAAGCCGGCAAAAAGGTGCCACGGTGGGCGTCTTGCCGTGCCTGGACATCTCGTCCAGCGTCACCGCCTTCGGGCGGACCATGATTGACCACACCAAGAAGATGGTGGAGGCAGGGGCTGGGGGAAGTAGAGGCGGATGCGTGGCTCAAAGTGGGCCATGGGTCAAAAAATCCAAATCGGTTAGCCCCCAGTGAACATCCCAGTCCAACCACTAAAATAAACTAAAATGGGTGGTGCACCTACCCCAAAATGGCACCATTGGTTTTGACCCACCGCCAAATGAAGGAGCTAGGGTTGCGCAGGCTTCATTTGGCCGTGGTTGTCAAAACCGTTGTGGTTGATCCCATTTTGGGGATTGGGTGCACCACCCTTTTTCAGACTATTTCAGTGGGGATTGGGATGTTCACTGGGGGTACGGGTTTTTGTCCCATGGCCATTTAGTCTTTGGAACCATTTGCCAAGGCGGCAGTTTGGTAACAAGTTCTCGAGCCACTGCCAATTGATTGGAGAAATTGATAGCAACTGATTTTACACGGGTCTCTGAGATCCTTCGAGTTACAGTGAAGTTGAGAAGCGGGAGCCAGATCTCTCTTGGCGGTTGCCAGCCGTCCCGATTCGATACTAGGTTTTCAAGGTTTGGGGGGGGGGGCGGGGTTCTATTTAACAAAACTTTTAGCAGGCCCGGCTCTTGCTTCTTACGCTGGTGACCAGGAGAAGTACTGCATCGAGAATGGCTATGCCCACAATGCGCAGGTCATCTATGGCGACACAGACTCCGCACCTCGGGTTTGGATCAGAGAGACCAAGTGGGGATTTCTTTTCGGAACTGCCCCCAGGCTGGGATTGGTGGTTTGTATTTGAATTACACCTGGTCCAGGGCAAATGGCTTGGCTTTCCCACACCCAAACCTCCAAACCGCCCACCGGAAGCTGGTGCATTGGGAATTAGACCAATCGAGGGTCCTTTTGCAGGAACCTCAAAGTGGTTCGACACGTTCCCAATCGGATGCACCCATTGGAAGACGCCAAGAACCCTTCCATAGCTTTCCTCGTGGGCTTCGGAAGAACTGTTGTTAAGGTTTTTGCACGGCCAGTAGGGAAAGAGGGAATGAGGGAATGACATGGGTGTGATTGTCACTTGGTAGGCAAGAGGCCCGGAAAAGCGAAGAAGTAGCCTTAACCAGCAAACTAGCCATAGCTGGTTGACTAGCTTGCCAAAATAGGCAGGTGCCAGGAAACTAGCTAAGCGCGCAAATTATCAGTGCACCACGCTGCAAAGTGCCGGCTGTCGCCTGCAGACGGCCCTGAGCCAAGGAGCAAAAAGAACTGCGCTGGCATGCATTGGAGCATGTTGTAAAGTAGAGTTGCGCTGGACTGTAGGGGCAGCTTGAGGGATGATTCAGAGAAACGGCTCATTCCAAAGAAACTCGGGAAGATATATCGCCCACGGCGATCCATGAAGCTTCTGAGGTGATGGTGAAATTCGGAGTGGATACTGTCCCAGAGGCCATGCGCTTGGGCCAAGAGGCGGCAGCGCCCCGGCCGCGGAGAAAGCAAGCATTAAGTTGGTTTTCCTTTGGTTTCCCTTTAAAAAAGCACACACACACAAACAACAAGACACCCTCAAAAAAAGGCGAGCCACCCATTTGCTTCCCGGGGAGTTGTGCATATTGAGCTCCGAATGCGAACTCAGAACTGCCCCCCCCCTCCACCGGAAGATGAGGCTGTGATAAGGCCCAGTGGGGTAATGAACTGGAGGAAACCGAGCGGGGGGTGGGTGGGTGGGTGGGTGGGTGGGTGGGTGGGTGGGTGGGTGGGTGGGTGGGTGGGTGGGTGGGTGGGTGGGTGGGTGGGTGGGTGGGTGGG